GTCTATTTACTAGCTGTACTACTACATGAAGTGAGAGAAGTATGTTGGCTGCTATTGCTGACCTCTCCTGAAAATGCCAGGTGTCATGCTCATCCAGTAGGTTCAGCAGTTTGAGTAACTGACCCTAACCAAATGTGAAGATTGAGAATTTGGACTTCAGTGGCTACATAGTAGCTTCAGGCCAGTGATGTAAAAGAATTATGGGGAGAGTGAAATGCATTCATCCCAATAGTTAGAGCCGACATGCGACACTGCAGCTGTCACTCATCGGCTCTATTGATCGAGAACTAAGCGATCACATACCACTGATCGCTCAGGTCCCGATCTTCTACGTCAGTCACCGCTACCTCCAGAGATCCCCCCCCTCTCCATTCCTCCAGCATCACTTATAGGGACAGACGGGAGAGGGTGCAGGCACAGCTGACTCTGGCTCCAATCAATCAGCTGTCAATCAGGTAGCGAGGAGGATCCACGCTGCGGCTCTGCGCTGTCAGCATATAGGCGACAATAGCCTGCTGTGTGCTGAGTTTTGGGTCACAGGAGGACATTAGTAAATGTCCTCCTGTGATCCAAAAGAGAAGCACGGCCAAAAAAAGTTGGGCCATGGTCCTCTTTAAAGTACTGAAGGGGCTGGATAGGCATGGCTGCCAGTAACTATCATTTTCAAAAAGGGCCAGAAAAGAAAACCAGATTTCTTGAATTGATTCTGTAATGAATACATACTTCGTGATCTATTATAAAACATTTTTTTATAAATTTTTAGAACTTCTCTGGTGCAGGTTTTAGACATACTGTAAACAGGATAAATGAATGCAATCCCTTATCGAAAATATTGCAGATGAATTCCCTTTTAATCTGGGTGAAGAGGAATGTCCCCTCTATACATGTAAACAAACTCTTCTAAAAAAAACAGAAGGTTTTGCAATACAGGAGAAAAAAGAAAGTATGTTTTGTTTGTTGAGCTGTATCAGACGGACGATATCAGAAACCATCTTCTGACACGCATGCTGTGTAAAGCACCACTAATTCATTTAAGGGGAAGCTATATGCAAGTTCATGAAGTACGCACAAAGTTATTTATTACAACTTTCCCAATCTAAATTCAGGGTCAGCGTCCATTCTTCAACCCACTGGAAAGCTAGGTATACACAGGCAGATGTCTCCCCAAGGATAATGAATGAGACATCTAGGCTTGAAGCCCAACTCTAGGCACAGCTATTTTTTAGAATCCTTGCATTAACTCTGTCATTTGGAGCTGCTGATATGTACTGCTGCATCAGTGAACAGCCGGTTAAGGTGTCGTGCCTCTGCCCCCCTTCACTGTGCTGCAAAAGTAAGCTTTGCATACTTGATGCATATTTGATAATGGCAGTTTAGTCCCTTTTAAGTGTCCCCAAAAGAAAAATCCCAAGCTTGACCTTTACCGATATAGTATCACCACTGCTGTACTTGTATACCTCTCCCCAACATTCTGTCAATGTGAGACTACAGCCACTTAACTGATGTATGCTGGTGATGTTTAAGGCCTAATTATTTCTTCACAATCACATCACAAGCATGGTCCTCTTACTCAACAGTGGGCGGGTCCTAAATTCTGCAGAGAGCACAGCACGATTTAATGTGGTGCCATTCTCCTGTCAGCCCAGCGCAGCTTGATGAAGCATCCCCAATCCTTGAAGGTCCTTGGCACCCTGGGCTCAAGGGAAGCTGGCCCTGAGGGAGAAGCTGAAATCGTAGTGTGGCAGCTCTGTGGGGGAACAGTGCCCAAGAAGAGGTAAGTAGTGCACCAAACCTACGTTTTATTTAAAAAAGTCTAGGCAATATTAACAAATATAAAAGCTGGAATTGAAGGGGCAGAGAAACTCAAAAACAGCCAAATTAGTTGGTTGCTTTACCCACCAAGGTATCTGAATATTTAGCAGTTTGCCTTGGGTTCAGTTCAACTTTTTTTATAGAAAAATTCAATTGCATCCCAAATTATTAGTACAACAGACCGGTCCAAAAAGAAAAAGAAACAAAAAAAACAGAAATGTTCAGAAATCACCATAAACCACATTTCTTTGAGTCTATTGAGGGATACAGGACGTCTGTTTTCACTTTTGGGTTACACAACCGCCTACAGGAGGTCTGGACAATGGCTTACAAAAACTGTAGGCCAGTCCAGATAAACCCTCCCACTACCAACCAGCAGGAGCATAAATACAGACCTGTGTAGCTGAATGAACTCCAAACAATTTTCCCGAGTACAGAAATCCTACTTTCTTTATCGTGCATTAATGGACACAGGAGTCTTACCTTCAGGATGTCCAAAAGCAGTCCAACTGAAGGGTGGCCAACAATGTCAACAAATTCTAAAAGTCCCATGGGAAAAAAACAGCTGACGGGACTGCAGCTTAAACACCGAAACAACCATATGCCCAATGCTGGTACGAGAGCAGGAAGAGAAGCGCACACAAAACTAGTAGAGTGCACCTTGACAGGACCTCTGGACCACAAGTCTGGATGAGTGTCTGCTGAGCCATGTAAAGATGAGAAGCTGCTGCACCCCTACGGCATCCATCCAGGATTACAAAAAGGGAATCAGTCTTACAGCAGTGCTGAGAGCTTGAGGAAGACTAAAGAAATCACAGCCACAACTACATCCAGAAAATGAAGACTTCCTTTTGGTGCACTGGAGTCTAACAGAATAATGGAAGAATGATATCCTAGTCGGGGTACAAGGCAAGAAGGAAGTCCTGGACCTCAAAACTACATTGCCTTCAGGCAAAACTAGAAAGGGTTCCTTGCAGGATAAGGCTGCTAGTTTAGACAATCACCTTGTAGAGGTAATGCCCCTAAGGTCCTACACAAATGGGGTACAAAGCTAAAAAGCATTTGGGTGGAGAAAACAGCTTGTTGTTAGGGAATTTCCTATGTACATAGAGAAAGGGGTGGAACAGCAGGTGTAGTAGGAAAGCCTTTGCGGTCTTAGGGGCTCTAAAAGAGACCCTAGACTGGAAACCACACTGGTAGAAAACAGGCTGTTCCTCTAGTTTCAGAGTGGCGCACACCGCATCAATACGAGCTGAACAGGTCACTTAATTGGATAGCAATAGCAGACGTCTGCAACTTCTCCAAGATAAGTTTGTCTGGCAAGGACTGGACAACTCAGAATCAGTGTCTCTGTGGGTGATGGCTTAGAAGTCGCTAAGGTCGTGGGTAAATCAGATACATAATCTGTGTTGGAAGACACAAGAACGCGCTTGTGGCCTCTGGTCAAAATTGGCAAATAACTAGATGACTTGGGCCATAAAATTATTTCAACTATAGTGAAAACCTCTGCTTAAAAGGCAGAGGAACCGACCACACTTGTCTATGCTAAAGAGGAATAGACTCCAGGAGCAGAGGGCAACATGATTCTAGGCTGCAGACATGGGCACTATCAGAGGTGTGCTGCAAGCTGTCTCGGAGGCATTAGTAGAGTGAGAGCAGGGGTCACCTGTTATACAGTGGGATCCCTCCCATGTCTAGAATCAAATATGTTGTGACTATGTGGTGGTAATGGAACTTCAGGCTCAGAGTAGAAGGCAAGGCCTCAGGTACTTGTGAAGCCAAAACCATTGGTATTAGATGAGGGCTGTATGGCAAGAGGTGACCAAAGTCACTAATGCTTTCTCCCCCCAAGCAGAATCAGCAGCAGGGAGAGGCTTCTTCAATGCTGTAAGTCAGGAAAGAGAGTGGAGCAGACAATCACAACACTCCTCCCAGTGGATGACGCCCACATTTAGCACCACAACAGTAACTCAAGCAAGCAGGGATTTATAAGGCACCTAGTAACCAATGTAAGTGAGGTAGCTCCTGGAAAGTGCTCCACAGCTAACTTGTCACCAGAATGAAGTCCAGAAAGCTCCCTACATGAAACCCAATGCCCCAAGGTCATTTCCAGTTGATCCCTGTCAAGTCCAGTCTGGCTGCGTCCGGGCATGATCCTATAAGCCAGGCGGAGGATGGTCAGCTTTAGCCATGATGTAGAGATGAGTCTTAATAAAAAGGAAAGAAAATATTTTGAAGAAAATATAGTGCTAGGTTAGTATGTATATATAGGTTAGTCTTTTACACAGCAGAGAAGAGTAAAAGATTTCCATTCTTCTCGGAAACTAGCACAAAAACTAAAGCATGCTGGCAGTAGGAGGTGTTATACTGGGCAGGCCTACAGTTTTGTTGTTTGCCAGCGTCTCCTCCTTGCTGTAGGAGGCAGTATAACCCAAAGGTAAAAGACTTCCTGTGTCTCTCAACGAATGATAAAGAAACTCTCAATTCAGAATTAAACTGAAGAGCTACCGAACGCAGTCCGTCTTATGGCAGTGTATACATGGCTACATACATTGATATGTCATACTTAAATATTTAAAAGCGGCATAGATGCACTAGCCCTGCGGCGCTCTTTCATGTGCACAAACAGCATAAATGTACAGAATCCATTTCAGCAGATCAAAAGCATTCCAAGATAAGCTTTGTCAGAGCTACAAAAGTGAATATAGATTGGGGAAGGGGGGGGGGCATGGCAAATGGCTATTGAGGATTACAAGCAGGCAAGAGACTATGGGTAGAAAAAACTAAAAGAAAAAAAGGTCAACCTTGCATCTGAATAAACAGAATTTTTCTAGGCACAGCGAGTCATCGTAATAACAATTCAGTCCACGTGACAGAAAACGTTGACAAATAACAGGCCATAAAGTGCTGTTTGCATTCTCTCTTGCTTTTCAATCCCTTTTTTATGCCATACATTGCCAGGTACCATCTATATGGTGAGAGCTCATTCATAGTACAAACATAGACAATGTACAGAAAATGAATGTAGATTGCAAGGGGATTTTAAAAAGTCCCACCTTGACTTTTTTTTGTTTGATTTTGAAGGTTTTCAGCCCACACTTCAGGTCCAGAGTGGGAAAAAAAGTTTAAAAGCAAAAAAACGGAGATTGTTGTAGTGCGTCTTTAAAGCAACAAATCTTACAAAAATATAGATTACTAGAACTGACGGACGCTATCCACACCAAACTCTTTTCCTTTCTTGTTCCTGGTCTTTACTGGACTCCCAAATTGGGTTCCGATTGTCTCGTGTGGATGTGAACAGGTGTCAGTGAATTTAATTGTCACCCGGCCAGGCGGGACATACGCCGGTTTCTCCAGACCGGTCTCAGTTCCCGCACGAGGAGTGGAATGATGAAGAGGAGGGCAAGGAAAGTCTGGAGGGATAAAAAAGCATAAGTTAGTTAGCAGTCTGCTAATCAGGATGTCAAATATAAGGCTGATAAAGAAAAGTCAGTATATACAAGAACTAGAGAACTGCTAAAATGGCAGCTGTCAGTATGGATTGGCAGCCTCTGCTCTGTATGGGATCCAATCGTCATTCTAAACAAACTTCAGGAACATTTCAAATGTAGTTCAAAACTGTAGCCATGAAATCAAGCTACAGCATAAAGGGTTTCTGTAACATGAATGCATATGAATTAGAGTACAGCCTATCCATTCACTAGACTGGTGACATCCCTGAGAATGCATCCTATCCATTCACTAGAGAACCAGTGACCTCACTGAGAGTGCAGCCTATCCATTCACTAGAGACCGGTGATATCCCTGAGAATGCAGACTATCCATTCACTAGACTGGTGACATCCCTGAGAATGCAGCCTATCCATTCACTAGAGACCGGTGATATCCCTGAGAATGCAGCCTATCCATTCACTAGAGACCAGTGACCTCACTGAGAATGCAGCCTATCCATTCACTAGAGACCAGTGACCTCACTGAGAATGCAGCTTATCCATTCACTTGAGACCGGTGACATCACTGAGTGCAGCCTATCCATTCACTAGACTGGTGACATCCCTGAGAATGCAGCCTATCCATTCACTAGAGAACAGTGACCTCACTGAAAATGCAGCCTATCCATTCACTAGAGACTGGTGATATCCCTGAGAATTCAGCCTATCCGTTCACTAGAGACCGGTGACATCCCTGAGAATGCAGCCTATCCATTCACTAGAGACCGGTGATATCCCTGAGAATTCAGCCTATCCGTTCACTAGAGACCGGTGACATCCCTGAGAATGCAGCCTATCCATTCACTAGAGACCGGTGATATCCCTGAGAATGCAGCCTATCCATTCACTAGAGACAAGTGACATCCCTGAGAATGCAGCCTATCCATTCACTAGAGACAAGTGACATCCCTGAGAATGCAGCCTATCCATTCACTAGAGACAAGTGACATCCCTGAGAATGCAGCCTATCCATTCACCGGCTAAACGGACACACAACTGACAAGCGTCAATCTCAAACACTGATCTGCTTTCTGCATTACTTGAACGGTTTAGTCTGGAAGCGCCTGCTGCCAATGTAACAGGGACAACATGACCTGATTTAGTGGAATATAGTAAACAAACCTTTGTATATCATGATCACAATCTGAAGCAGTTATTTGCATATTACTTGGCTGCTTTATGTGACTGGCATGCTGCTCCTCATAAGACAAAAAGCTACTGTAGCTTGCGAAATCCAAATGGCTGGTAGGGGATGCTTAGATACTTTAGATCCTCAACAGCTTACAGGTCCAAGCTTGGCTTAGGGGGGATCTGTACAGTGGAAAAATCACTACAAAGTTGCTACAGAGCATCAACACATATGTTTTATCATTTAATATAGGGGAAACTGTTTTTTTTTTTAAAATTTCGGTAATTTTTCCTTAATATAGTAAAAAAATAAAACCCCCAGTGGTGAATAAATACCACCAAAAGAAAGCTCTATCTGTCCCCAAAAAAGGGTATAAAATTCATTTCAGTACAGCGCTGCATGACGGAATAAATGTCAGTCAAAGTACCGCAGCGCTGAATACTGAAAAATGGCCTGGATGGGAAGGGGGTTTAACACCGCGGATGTCAACTGGTTAATGACATCTGCGTTCTCATAATTATACAAGTCCTTCATGGCAAGCATCTTTAGTACTTGGAGCACCTTTTTGCTGTTAGGACTTGCTGCAAAGGAGATGCATAGCCAGACACCAGCTTTCGGCAGCGTTCCCGAGGATCTCTCGTGAGCAACGGCCTCCAGTTGACTTGGGTTTAAGTGCTGCAACCACCTTCTTCACCAGAGATTTTCTATGGAGTTCACGCACAGCCACGCATGGTGCAACTAATGAAGCCCTTGACTAGTTACATCACGTGTGCTTGAGACAACACTTGTTTTTCAGATGTGTGCTCTGGTGAGGGATTCTATTCAGGGGGAAGAATCATTTTGAGATTGCATTAAAAGTTGCATTTTCAGTAGAATTTGGAGAAACCACTTGAAATATTCGTTGTGTTAACCTATTTCAATTGCTTTTGATTTGTTCATTGCAAACAACTGAAAGTTTGTACATTTTGCCAATAAACCTGATTTGGAATGGGAGTTGAATAGTTTTGATCACAACTGTTACTGTGCATTTAAAAGAACCGCTTCACTTGACAAAGGATTTGGATTCCTATCCATGGTAGTCCTGCGATTTCCAGATGCTACACAGCACAGCCAGGCCGATTACACCACTTTCCGCGTTACGTTTCAAGGCTGTGGAAGGAATACAGTGGTGTCCTCTTTAGGGCCCGTTCACACCAAATGCAGGGCATTCCGGCCCGATTCCGGCCAGAATGTACTGCCTCGCATTGCGGCCGGTTCACTTTTTTGTTGGGCAGAGGGGGCGTGGCAGGCCATTGAAGGGAATGGCACAGTAGCCACGCCCTCCGGCCGCACGGGATCGCAAGGCACATTATGCCTGCAGTCCGGTGTGATCAAAATGCTGCAATGTGCCTTGCGATCCCGTGCGACCGATCGCATTGCGGACAGAGGGCGTGGCTACGGTGCCATTCACTTCAATGGCCCCCCCCCCATAAAAAAAAAAAAAAAACCAGCCGGCCGCAATGCGAGGCAATGCATTTTGGTTACAATCGGGCCAGAACGCACTGCATCTAGTGTGAACGGGCCCTTACTCTGCAGACTGGACAGTGAAATGAGGTCACCCCTCTGCGGACTCTTCTCTCACTCTCTCATATCTGCACATTTGTAAGCAGCACACCTTTGAAACCTGCCCCTCCCTGTCCCAGTCTGAGCTTTGCTGCAGAAGGGATTGCAAGAGACTGCTACTAAGTCAAATACAGGTACTTGCCCCTAGTTGCATTTAAAGCAATAGATTTAAGGATGCATTCATGAATACAGAGCTGCATTCATTTGAGTCTATTACATCTGCCTAGAGTTTGGCTTCAACAGCCTATTGCAGCTTTTTAGCATTGTGCAGCAGTACAGACAGAATACACCCGGGCCATTATGCTGTATGTGCTAGGAACATAAAATCTGTGAACTGCTCATTCCAACCAGGGAACATTGTGCTAAAAATAGAAAGTGCTCTCATTTTACATTCATTTATGGTTGATATACATTTAATTTTGTCTGACTGGAGAGTAGGCCTCTGGATCTCCCTGTCCCATGGGTGTGTACACTTAGACTGCACAGACTCTAAAGGGAGGAGCTGGGAACCCCTGTCCTTAGAATCAAACAATCTGTATTTGGTGTTCTCAGGGCCCCAGTTTATCAGGAACCAGGGAACATGAGCAGGCTGTGACCTTTGTATATGGGTTGGTTCTACATATACAAGTTTGACTGAAGTATAACTTTGGAAAATTTTAGTTAACAAAAGCGTTTTGTTTTTTTTGTCTGCTGTCAGCTAGATGAATGCTTTTGATCATTGAAAGACACCAAATGACATGTGTGGGAGATGACAGCACTTATGCCGCTCAATTGGCATCTTGGGACTCTTGTAAAGCAATATATGCCAGAGGCTAAGCAAGAAAACGATCACAGCAACGCATTATACAAAAGAATAGAAGATCACCGTGTGCCCTAGCTAGACTTCAGAATCCCCCAAATGACATTCATAGCGGGGAGGAAAGTTTATGAATTTTGGAGTGACAAAAAGGCAAACTTTTTTTTTTTTGTATCTTACTACAGTCAGCAGCCGCTATCAACTGCCAAGCTGCAGTAGCTGGAATAGGTTGGAAAGCCAGAAATGGGAAAAATCATGTAATCCCTGGATGTGTCTTCCAGCGTCAGCTGTTACACACTAGCTTCAGCTCATAAAAGGCAAATCTGAGGGAAGTGTGTACAGCAAGATTTTAGGGCCAATCCACACCAATGTTCCACTAATCACGCAGTGACAAAGCGCTGATCCCAACGCATCACACTAAGTACTTTTTTGTGTTTGGAACAGTATTGAAATATCACAAGTGACATTTCATTCAGTTCTATGGGCACAGTAGGTGCAAGGCACTTGTAACGCGTTGCATCCTGCTGCTTTGAGAAAAGGCCGTGCCTTACTTTTTTTTTTAAGGAAATCTTGGAGAGGAACTGCTGCACCCCTTACCGGAACCCCTATGTATAAAGTTGGATGCTGTAGTAACCACGGATGGCGCCGTGCATCTTCAAATATATGATAAAGGTCACCAGCACACCTATGTCTTGTGTCAATAATCCACTTTCATTATTGATGCAGACTATCACAAAGCCTGCATCAGGTTTTAGTATAACACCAGCATCCATATAACCTTCAACCTAAATACCCTAACCCCAAGTACAAAATCCAATAGAAAGTGTTCCCCTCCCCCTGACGTCATTATTCCCGCCAGAAGGCGGAAAAAAAAAAAGCGGGTGCAAGGCGCTTGTAACGCGTTGCATCCTGCTGCTTTGAAAAAAGGCAGCGCCTTACTTTTTTTTTTTTAGCGCACACCACCGCGTTCCTACCGCAACCTGGTGGTGTGAAAGGGCACCATCTGTGACAAGGCGAATTGCATGGTCTTGCTTTGGGGTTACGCTGGAAACAGCCAGATGGTGTGAATGAGCCTTTACAATGCTTTCAGCTCGCTTCAAACAGCTTTCTTTAAACTTTTAACCCTTTTGCTGCTAGACCAATGTTTCCATTCTTTCATAAGCATGTTAAAAAACAGATTTTATAAGTAGACCTTAACTCAGAAAGATTTATAGGGAATATACAGTAGAAGGTTATAGGGAATATCTAGAAATTTTATTTATGCCTACAAAGTACCCTGAAACTTGGCTGGAAAGCCTACTGAAAAATAACAGCGCACTTCCAGGTATGTTAGGGATTTCCTCTCTCTACAATCTCGTAGATGTCAATCTGCAGTGTGAGATTATCTATGGGACTTCCGCCTCTGACTACTACTCTCAGGAGATTTGAAGTGAGATTTTTTGATACCATCACTGTGCTGCTCACTGCTCTCCTTGTTGGAGGCTCGGACATAAGGAAGATACAGTCCTGCCTCTACAAAGATGGCTGCCACCCCACAGAGACAGAGTGCAAAACAAGGCATGGTAAGTATTGGGGAATAGGACAACCACAGGCAATACTGATGAGTATTCCTTTCCTTCCTGCCTGATTTGACACCACTTCCAGCACTCAGTACAAGACAGCCTAGTGGGTCTTAGCACAGAAAAGACTGTGCAAAAGTGTGATTAGTGAAAGCAAAAAACAGATTTTTGTAATGAAATGAAATCTACCCCAGAGGGTGGACAGTAGCAGGTCTAAAGCTTAGATCCGTCAAGCCTTGAATAGCACCATCTGTCTTATTGTCACCAGCCCCTATGAGGTCCCACTGCCTGAGAGGATGTACGGCATGGAAAAAACTAAACATTTGGCTCCTGACAATATATTCCATTTATTTCAGTTTTCATAATTCAACCCCACTGTGCGCCAAACACATGTGAGATGTTATCTTACCATGAGAATGAAGAAATAAAAGACCCACATCCAGTCAAGTTTTGCCTGGATCACCGACACCAGAACCTGGAAAACAGAGCAGAGTCAGACATGAGACCCATCCAGACTGATATTCTGTGAGGTTTGTCTGTACATGGTAAAATGTGCATAGAACAAAATATTCCCCTTGCTCACAAATCTGGCATGTGCAGGCTGAAGTATATCTAAAGCCAAAACTGTTTTTTTTGTTTGGTTTTGACAGTGTAGGGAAGGGTTAAAACTAGGGATGGACTGATATATCAGCTGAAAATGGCACTTTCGGCAAAATGCCGAAAGTGCAATTTGCTGGCCGATACAGCGGTGCATCCATTCTTTCTCGCCTCTCTGCTGGGCACTGCTGTGTCCCAGCGGGGAGGAGAGAAACCGTCACAGGCGGCCGAGCACTGCAGAAGGAGAGCGCTGTGACAGGCCGGCGTCTCTCCACCCACACCGCTCAGCCTCCTGTCACAGATCAGAGGAGAGTGGCGGTGTGGCTATCAGCTGTCACAGGAGGCTGAGCTCTCCTCCCACACCCCTCGTTTACTCAATTATGAATGAATGGAAGTGATCTACAGCATCTCCTGTTCATTCATGATTGTGGTTATAGTAAACATACTCTGTCCTCAAGTTATAAATGAACAGGAACACTCAGCATAGAGGATTCTAAAAAAAGAGGATTGTGTCCTCACTCTCTTTTTCTATTTTAAAAAGGGAAATATCAGGGGTCTAGTTAGATCCCCAATATTTCCCCAAAGCCCCTAAAAGTAAAAAATAAAAATGAATAAAAATAAAAAGCTTCTAAAAATTTTTTTTTTTGAAAAAGAATAAAAAAATATTTTCGGTTCGAAATTCCAAGTACAAACCCCCCCTGCTAGAATCATAACCCTCTACTGGTCTCAGTTAAAGAGAACCAGTCACTCATAGAACAATAAAATACTGAGAGGGGAATTTATCAAAACTGGAGCAGTGATAATCTGCAGGAGTTGTCCATGGCAACTGCTCCAGTTTTGATAAATTCCCCTCAGAGTCTTTATTATAATTCTGCAGTGTTACTGCTCTACATTTGCTGTAGAGTTAGTTAAGAGTTACTTTGAGTCTGACATTTTACATCGAATGTCAGAGGTCACTTGAAGTCTGACAGCTGCTGCCATGAAAACTGCTTGACCTCACACCCTATCCTCCCAGCTTCTGAAGCAGGTCCAATAACAGAGGCCTGGATTCAATGTAAAACAATAAGGCTCTGGTATTTTACTGGTATTATGTACTCAAGAGCTGGGAGACAGTCTGTGCAGTTACTCAGTTTACAGGGCAGGAACTGTCAGATTCAAGTGTCAGGTTCAAACAAAAAGAAATTCAAAGCCCAGCTACACTGTATGAAAAGTTTTTTTTTTTTTTTTTTAATAATTCCCCTTCCTACTGTAAGCTTCCCCCCTCTATGGAGCTTTCCCCTGCAGTTACCTGCACTGTGATCCAGCGCCTGTCCCCTTTTCATGTAAATGACACCTGGCGCCTGTAAGTGAGGGCATCATGGGCTTGTCCCCTGGGGAGGGGCATCAGCATGGCATTCTGAAACCAACTTCAATAATGTAGGGAATGGCACTAACGTAGTGTACCCTGTAGCATCATGTGACCAGCCAGAAGACGTTTGAAAAATGTATTAAAAATAAATTAAAAGGGGTGGGGGGAGTAGTCCCTCCAGGAGGGGGTGGGGAGGAGGTCAAATAGGTCTTCGCTCAATATGTCTGTACTCACTTGACCAATAGCAGCTCCCATGCTTCCAGTTCCATCCACAATGCCGGTTACTGTGGCCAGGGCTTCACTGCTGCCTCTCACCATCTCCTGGCGGCCCAGGTCTGCAGAGATTGCTGAGCTGATCATATTGGAGGGGCCTCCGATGAAAAAGCCTAGAAGACAAAGACACTCAACCAATCCTCTTTATAGAATACAGGAAATAATACAAGAGTTATTAAACACCATTACTGCAACTGTGGGATTTCTAGAAGGTGCTTACTTTTTATCTTTATATCAAAACAAAAATAAAACCGCGGCGGTGTTGCTCCAGCACAGCTAAACTCCTCACTTATTTATACTACATTATGAGGAAGGAGACACGCCATCATTTAGCTTTGTAATGGACACAAATGCTGGACAGAACTGGTAATTGCTGGTGAGGAAGTCTTGTGACCAGAAGTGAGCATGCGATTGAAGCTGACAGCAAGCACCTGAGATTACAATGTCAATGTTGAGTGGTGTTGGACTTAGAGAACTTACCTGTGATTGTCATTAGCACAGCATTCAGGGGCTTGTTATTTGGGGAGCCTGGAAAGGCAGAAAAAAACCCAAATTATAATGTATTCTAAAACAGTATGTAGAGATAATTCCTTATTATATATCAAGCACAAAGCATAGTAAAGACACACCAATGGTCTAGAATGGCTATTACAGGGCCTTGCAATATAAGGAAACATGACATCCATCTGTATTGTTCAATTACACAAACCTAGTACCTAAATTCTCATATAAGCTTTAACATGTTAATGTCATTTCAAAAGTCGTTTTCAATATTTTTAAATCTGCAGCTTTCAGTAAATGAATCTTGCCAGAAGAGGTCCTTGTTAAGGCACTTCCTGTTATAGGGTGACAACTATGTCCCTGCCTCCCAATTGTTTTTCTGCATTGTCAACGTCTCACAAAGGCTGCAGATTCATCACACATTATACAGACATAATCTACTGTTGTCACCATCAGGATACCTGGCATGAAAAATGCCATGCAGCAATTTCTGTAGTACATGCAAACAACAAGTGGATGCAAAGAAGCTGCAAGAGATCAGCAGCACAGAGAATGCAACAAAAGATGACAATGGTTTATGACACAAGTGGGCTGAACGAAAAAAAAAAAAACAGAACAAATTCCTCCAGCAACGCTTTCAAGCGTTGGAGGAATCTCCCGCTGTCTTCATTGTATTCCGAGAGTGGCTGGCGCCCACTGTCAGAATACCTGAACAGAGCTGGAGGCTGACTGGCGGCCGGCTCTGTTCGTTCAAAAGATTTTCTGACCTACTCCTTCGATCAGCTGATCAAAGGATGCCGACTGAAAGGGTGCCGACAGCGGCAGTGTGTGAATTTCGTCCGGTTCTTGATTTGCACAGTGTATGGCCAGCTTTAGTATCATTCAGTTAGGGTTTAGATCTACTTTAAAACAAACGGGACCATAAAGAGATGAGATAAAGAGATGAGATAAATCAAACATTTCCTATGACTGTCGAGGAATACTGATTACTAATCTCTAGTGAAACCACAAACACATCAATAGAACACATGCACTTCCCCTTTTTTTTATTCCCTCAACACGCACAGACTTGGCCTTGGCCTCTGACAGTGGTTGAAAAAGTTATCCAACCGTCACCTCCT